TGCAGCAATCACAGTTCAAGTCCACTGTGGAATTCTTCAAGAGGTTCAAAGAGATGGCAGTGGAGGCTGAACACATTGATCACACTGAAGAAATGAAAGAAGTAGTTGCACAGGCCATCCAGCCTAATGTCAAGCAGATTATTATGGCCAGAGACAACACATGACTCATGATTTATTGGGAGTGGAAGGATCAGGTCAGCTGAATGGATGAAAATTACTGAGTACATGTCATGCAAGATGGATGGTACCCAGGTGGAACCGGCAGAACCAAGCCTGGGCTGGCAGGTGGCTCCTCATCAAGGAGCAACAAGAGGGATGCCATGAGCACCACCTATGGTGGTGAAGACAAGCCCATGGACATTGACCACCTCAAGCAGGAGAAGCAGTGTTTCTGATGCGGACACACTGAACATGTATTGTGGGATAAGAAATGCCTGTCAGAGTGAGAATGGTTGCTCAAGAAGAAGAAACCATCTGTGCAGCACCTATGAGCTATGTTGGCTGAGGCAGAACAGGAGGGCCTTGCAAAGATCGAGAAGGTAAAAGAAATATTGGCAGAGGACTTGGCAATTTGCCTCTGTCAACCAGGACTCAAGTTTCCTTTAGTATGCACTTACTTATGACTGGTCACACTCAACATATGTGTGTAGATACTTCTATGGACAATACATCTCATTTGTCACATTCTAAAGAAACTAGGATTGAATCGCAGGAACACAGCATAGAAGGGGATTACTGCTGCTTTATGAGCATTGAACCCCTGGCCAAGAAAGAGTGGTGATGAGCCTCATGGCTCTGTACACTCAGAATTCATGCATTTCACACTCTATAGTGCTATACAATGAGTGCAACACTTAAAGATTACTACTGTATCAGTTTTCAAGAAGCAACACACCCACTATATGCTATTGTCCATCTTATCTTAATATGCTAGGTACTCTGATTGCTGATCTCTCATATATGGCCCATTCTGATCACATCACACAGCCACCATGACTATGCGATAGTACTTTAATTATGGAACTGCATTTACTATGATGCATAATTCCAATCAGTCATAACTACAGAGGAGTCTTGTGCTTTGCTGGAGCATGGTCATACCAGAAGTCACTACCAAGCTAATACTGTGGCTCAGTGACCATGGCCAGTAACACACAGTGTTAATAACTGTGATTAGGAGAGCATTCAGTCATTGAAGGTAAATGTGGAATCTAAATGTGGGGAATCCCTTCCACATTTGAATATTGGTAGAAAGCAAGATATATAAATCTGTTTGGCATGTATACTAGATAAACTACATACAGTATTGAGTAAAACTATGGTATAGGCACAGTAGGTAGTATAAAAGAGTAAGAGAATATGGAAGAAAGGAAGCAATACCTACCCTAGTAAACATCAATGCTTTATTAGTATCTGCTTGATCTAATAAACATGCTTATTTTACACTCTTATTCCCTGGTCCATTCACAGTTCAAGCTCAGTCATCATCTACTCAGTATCAGTCTATTCTCTAAATTTGGGATCTCATAAATCCAGAATCAGCACAGTCACAGCTACCAGTTAAATTTGGAATAACTTACTACAGTTATATTGAGACTCTTTTCAGCATATGCTTAGAGGTCATTCTAGCACATTTAGTCCTATTATTCCTAATACTCACTAATTCAGGTACTACTTCACAGACTTTTAGTTGCAGTGTGTACTACATGTTATTGAAGAAGTCAATCATACAGAGGTATAAAGAACTACTCACACATACAACAAGCCAAAACTATTATTGTGCGTTTTACACTTAAACTACCAATTGTTTTTGTGTTTGCTATTGCCATAGAAGTCTAGGCTTATCAGTGGAGGGGCTCTCCTCAGGTACAATTTTCCCCAGGAGGAGATGAGTGGTGGAATATGAGTGCGAGTAGCCTAATGGTGAAAGACTCAGGCAAGTCACCTCATGAAGTGGCAATGCACCAGATCAGTGCCCTGGGGCCTAACTGGTGATGAGCCTCCAGGCTCTGTATGCTCAGAATTCATGGATTTTACCAGATAGCTAATTCTCCAGCCACCACACAAACCTACTATTTCAATCCCAGCAATATTGCTTAATGCTGCCAATTATCCTTCCCCACTTGTACCCCACATCAATTGCATGCACCTTCCATTAATTCTGCCAGTCTTCTTTCATTAATTCTGCCAGGCACCTGATTATTGATCTCACAGATTTAGAATCCCATCTGATTGCCTAGCACAGCTGCAATTCTGCAGCTCAAATAGCAATTCCATGCTATTAGCTCTAATGCCATGACCTTTCCTCAGTCTTTACTAAGGCTGTTATACCACCAAGAGATTGCTGCAAGCATCTACTTCAGTACACTTGCTTCAATGTACTTTGCTGCAGCAACACAGCAGCTCAAAATTCCAAAGATCGGTGGCATTCTTGCTAATCACTTCATCTATATGTGGTAAAGCCATATGGGTGCTGTTACTTTAGAACCTTGGGAACATGTGTTTTGTATCATTTCTTACCAATCTATGTACTACAGACTTACTAAGGACTCACTTCAAGTATGCTAAATTTATTCTAGACTTGTAGTATAAAAGCTAGTATACACCATGGAAAATAAGTAGTTGCTGGACACAAGTTACTGAACACAAGTTATCGCAACTGTTATTGACCACCATCACTGCTTGTACTCACTAGGAGACAGACAATAGAACCCTGTCACTCTGAGTTATACTCTCTGTCATGGCTTTTCTTCTAAATGGTATTGGTGTACACTCATATTGTGCCAATACACAGAATTTCATGTCCACAACTCGCTTTTACCTTTTATTCCACCAGCATCATTTCACTCTCACCAGCCAGCATTGTTTTACCAGCCTTCACTTTCTATGTCGCCATTGTTTTACCCCAGTTCAGCTCAGTACAGTTACGTCCCCATGTGGACACAGATTAGGATCATTATTGCTGCCAGCAGTGTCTGTCATGGAATTTCAGTCAACATAGGACCTTTAGTCACAGTATTTGGTATCTTGCCATCAGCTTCAGTATAGGATAGTCTCCATGTAGACTCAGGATCAGGATCAGTTTCGTTTTACTGCAGTTAACCTCAGCACAGTTTTAGTCTCAGCCTCACCCAGTATCAGTCATCGTTTTTCTGCCGCTAGTCTCTCATCATATTTCTATCAGCCAGTCTCTCTTCACTTTACCACCAGTTTCTCAACTACAGTCTTTGTCTATTGCCATCACAGTATTTGTTATCTTGCCAATGGTATTTCTCTTTGACAGCATTTCTATTAATTCCACCAATTCTGCCCACGGCTTTTACTAGTTAATTGCCATCACTTTGTTCATGGCTTGCCAGTATTCCCAGTTATACCAGATTCCATTCCTTCTCGTATATTGAGACCCTTCCCAGCTTACAGCCAATGCTTCCTAGTATTTGATCATTAAGGGTATTACTTCGCTGACTGAAAAGTCACAGTATATACTTGTGTTCTTAAGGAATTCATCGCACGGAGGTGCACTGAAACACTCGCACAACAACAAAGCCTTTATTGCCACTATGTGTCATTTGCCATAAACCTCTAGAATTTTGATTTTTGCCATTGCCACGGAAGTTTAGGCTCATCACTGGTGCAAGGTGGCTCCTCTGCAACAGACCACTTCAGTGATGGTGAGCGAGAGGAGTCCAGGTGAGACTTGGGATGAAGCCAAAGGTAGATGGGGCCTAGCAGACCCAATGTTGAACTGTTTTAAAGCAGAAGGGAGACCCCCAGAATCAGCACATGAGGGTGTGAGTTCTTTACAGGAAACTAACCTGGCCACCTTCTTAATGAAGGACACTGGCCAAAACCAAAACCTTAAGGTAAGGGACAGCAGAGGTGGGTCAGAGAGAGTGGGTGAGTCAGTGACTCAAAGGGACTCAAGACTGGGAGATGGCCCCAACTCTGGGCCTGGAGATGAGACAAAATCTATGCAGTATCCCATTCTGCCTAGTACTGATCCTTCCAAGTGATCCTCAATCACTCACAAGGATTAAGAGGGCCAAACTGGGGGCAGAGAGCCTCCTTTAAAGGTAACCACCATTGAAGAAATCACTGATGAAGAAGATGATTTCAGTTACCAGCAGAGTTTGCAGAACTTTAGAAAATCTGACCTATGCAGGCCATCCCTGACAGGAAAAGTCTTAAGTAGCCACAGCAAACAGGCAGGAAGCTCAGTAACCATAGAAGAACAAAGGGCCACAAATCCTATGATGAATGGCAACAAGGGGAAGACCCCAATGCTGAAAGAGAGAAACCTCAAGTACTCATCAGTAGAGTACCCTTTGGACAATCAGTACTTGAAGCTGTTTCAGGCTGCCTGGACCAGATGAGCTATGTGTCTTGCTAAAACATGTTATGGTTTATTTGGTTTATTTATTTGGTTTATTCATTCTCATTACTCATTTTTGCTTACATGTATGCGATTGCACCGGATCTGACTTCTCACAGTACTATGATTAGCTCTACCATAGTGTATTTAAGTAGTAGCCTTTGCTGGCCTAAACCCCAGCTATGGCTAAGGTTTAATCTATCCAAATCGTACTCCATTCTACGCGACTATCTGTGCTTGCGACTGACTCTCATAATTAACTTTGACCTGCAAGAGTGTCGTCCACTGAAGTGCGAGTGGTGATCCTTGTTTGATCTAAGTTGATTCAAGTTGGTTGTTAACATTTAGCCATAGCTTGTCCTTAACGTTCCTCATCGTTGTTTAACGACAGTGACTAACGTACCTATGCCCATTTCTGAGCTACTTCCCACTCTCTCAGTAGCCTTCACCTTGTTCACCCTTGCGGTCCTGATAATTGTCGTTAGACAAGTATATCGGTGCTGCCAACGGGCTCGAGAAAGAAGAGCTAGACTTCCCTTTCATCACATCCTGCTAGTCCCCCACCTCCTGGTCCCATACCCAACAGTACCAGTCCCTCACACTACTGCACCTCCACTGGACAATCAAGATGGACAAACCCTCACACCCCGAACCTCAGGGGAGTCCCCCACCCTCACCAGAACATCATCTGTTGACATTACCGACACCTGAGGAGTCGATCTCGGAAGTAGCAATGTACCACTCCTGGGACTCTTCAGTCAGTCTACAGACAGAAGCAGGACAGGACCCAAAGAGGGAGGGCCTGTGGAGCAGGACAAAGAAGGCCCTTACAACCTCTTCGACTCAGAAGGTTGGAGGCTCCAAAACTTCCTTGAAAACGATGGCGGTGGGGAAGAAGAGCCTGACCCCTATACCAGAAGCGAGTGGCTTGCAGCAGAGGCAGACACCTGAGAGTACTGCCACAGAGACGACCTTGCAGAAGACAGTGGAGAGCTCAGCCTTGGGGCCTCCGCCACAAATCCCTCCGGTACAAACCCACCAAACCCCGTTCGACATAGAGTGGCAGCAAGCAAGGTGCAGCAAGGAATCGCTGTCACCTGGTACCCCCACACCAGCTGGGTCTTCACAAGGGAAGAAGCTCCTGTGGCCAGAGTATCAGCCTCGAGGACCAAGAACCACACCCCTGTGCAAACCGTTACCCTCCCTGCCAAAATCGAGCAGCGTATCTGGGACACCATTGAGGACTACAACCCAGATACCCCTAGAGCACATCCCAGCACTGGCGAGCTCCCCAGTATCCCCGCTTTCACCATGTCGGTCGCACCACAAGCCTTCGCCAGCCCCATCCCTCTCCATCAGCGACCATGGACTCATCTCTACCACATGCTCATCAAGTCCACACTCATCCCTCGAGATGCCCAGATCACCCCAGAGAGAGAGGCCCAAATGGAGCAGGCAAGAGCAAGTGATGCACGCTGATACACCTGGTATCAGGCTACCCATAGATTTTGCGATTTTACATCAGTTTATGCAATCTACAAGTGGTACAGAGAGCTACAGTGGAGGCTTCACGCTGGTAGCTAAATACTACATAAAGAATGAAAGCACAGCAGTACAGAACGGACTTAGAAACGACGTCTCAAAGAGTCAATTCTACCAGCCATCAACATGCCAAGCTAAGCCCCACCTAAACAAGACTATTACAGTCAAATCTCGGGGACTCGTCTGTATGGAGTATAAAAACCAAGAAGTTAAAGAATGGAATGAACTAGATGCCTCATTGCCTTGACGAGTAGAAAGAACCTGTCAAGAAAAATTGCTAAGTCGAGAAACAGATCAGCTTTCGAGATCAACTCAGGCTAGGAAAGGAATAACCTTGGAAGAATGAATAGCTGCATTGGGTACCGAGATGACTGACCTTGATCACGCAGTGATCAACAGAATATAATCTCGGACCTGCAGTCAATCGCGATCGGTGGTTACATCCTCAAGATCCTGCGCATACTGCAGTATTCCATACATACGGCATGCGGCAAGCCTTGCAGATGGAAGAAGGAGCACCCACGGACTAGTAGGGCACTCCTCGGCGACAGAATAACCCAGCGCAGTCGCGTTGAACTGAATAGAAACTATGGAATGGCATGATACATGTAGGATAGTGACTCACCATTTGTATTAATTCCAAAGCTCGTACCATAATTACTGTAGATACGGGCTCCTATACCTAGAACACGAATCGTATAAATTAGCAGCGACTAGACACATAACGGAAGGAAAGCATTCCCCCGTGTTTGTGCTAGTAGCCTGTATAGCTACCTAATCAATCACTGGTTTTATTGCATATCCTCAACTGAAGTGAATTAAGTTACCAAAGTCAACCCATAAGGGTGACTACAGTAATCTAGAAGAGTTAAGTAGGAAGTAGAGCTGTCCCTGCATTTGCGCCTTGCTAGTTAATTGAACTGCTCTGCAGACAAAGGCCTCGTGCTCTCTCTCTCCGAGATTAGCGATCTAGACATGCTGAGTTGACTTTAAGTCAAAAGACCTCATCTAGTTGAAGTAAAATAAGCCCTAGAATGCTTTAAGTTCGAACAATCATCAAGTTCAAGGAACTCCAGAGTCTGTGTACTCTTTGCAAGTCTTGTACTTGAAGTCAGAACCTGAGCGTTCTTTGTAGAGTGATTTTGCACTCTTTGTAGACCTCGGAGTCTTTGGTTGTTTGATTATTTGAAGTGTCCGCTAGAAGCACTTCTAGACGACATCGAAACGAGTATAACTTGCTCGACTATACCTTACCAAACAAGTTCATAAAACCCCGCTATCACGGACTAGTGTACTCTGTGTAAAACACATCGAAAGAAGAATTGAAGTTGGTTTCAGACAAAACCCCACTAGATTATCTAAATCTAAGTACATCACGAGTGCTTCTATCGTACTCACCCTCGAACTTATATACATTGGTGATAGTGTGTGTGTATTACGATTTCGCGCTCTATCTTATCTTATCGGCTCTCTCGTAATCCTGCTATGCTAACTCTCCAGACTTGATCGCATTAACCATGCGGGTTTAGTGTGTATACCACACCATTGCAGACACTTGTAGTATATTTAGCACGACCCAAACTGTATTTAAGTAACTCAACTGCAGGTCTTAAACCTCAGTCTCGAACTAAAGTTTATTCACCCGATAACTTAGTCTGAACTCACTCTCGCTCAACTAAGCGATAGCTCCCTTGACGCAAACCTGCAGACAACATACAGTGCCTGACCGAAGTGCGAGTCACGCTGAGTTGTTTGATCTTGTTTGTGAAATCGGTCGCTAACAATTAGTTCGAGACTTTCTTGCTCCTCATCAACAACCACGTTGACGAGCAGTAACAAATGAACCCCATCGAACAATACCTCACCGACCTCTTTGGACTACAAGGCTTCATAGCCGTAGCCTACCTTGCGTTCCTATATGGATACGAATACAGACGAAACCAGGAGCCAGTCTCCAAAGAAGCTATCCCCGTCGAAGCCCCCAACCCGGAGGCTAGATGACCGCACACACCCCCTCCCAACTACGTCGACGATAGACCCGACCCAATCATCCATTTCATCTTTATCACCGACGACGAGTGGATCACAGAGGACTCCGACACAGACGAGTCCAGTGACCCCGACACCAAAATGGAAGGATGGCCCACACAAAGAGGCCCAGTCATTGAAGAAGAGGAAGAGCGAAGAATCTACGAAAGGGGGGTGGACCAGCATGTTCTCTCTCCCATTACCGAGGAGGAAAGCGAAAGGGAAAGTGAGGGAAGTGATCCCTGGGACGCCCCCTCCCCCACATCAACAGAAAATTCAGCCGCCAACCCCGGATATGACTCATACGGACAGCGCCTCTATCAAAGAGGGCTTAGATATCATCTGGGAGAAAGAGGAACGGTTGAAGATGGAACTGGAAGCAGTTCAGATGAAGAAAGCCACTATACAGAGGAAGACGACCAAAGCAGCGAGCTCCCAGGGCCGCGCAACGACTGGTCCCCTCCAAGGCTGGACTCCAGAGGAGAAACTTGGGGCAACTACTATGCCCACGACAACTCATCAGATGATGAAGGAAGTTATCTCAACCTCGTCACCCGCCCGAACACCTCAATCATCATCAACGATAGGGCTGGGGAAGCCACTACTGAGCTCGACAGGTGCGGGCCCACATACGACGCCGACGCCAGCTGCGATATATGCCGACAAACACAGGACTACGCCGACGCATGGCTCATGTACGAGGGAATCGAAGCCCCTGCCTCCGTCGTCCCCTACGCCATCTACCCACTTGCACCAGAACACCCCCACGCAGCCCCCATTCCCTTCATCGCACCCTGGGTATGGGATAGACCCCGAAGACCCGATTTCGAACAAGTCATACTCAGGGTCAATGAGTGGGCCCGAATCATCAGAAACTGGAACCGAATCGTCACAGGAAGCACGGAGCCTTTCGAGCGAGTCCGACCAATCGGAACTAGAAGAAGGCGAAATTTACGAGAGCCCTGGAATAGGGCCGACTTCGATTTACAGCAGCAGCATTGGGTCGGGGAGTATGGAGACGAAGACATCATACCGGAGTTCATGGAAGGATCTAGCTCGGGAGCCTACTGAGGCCGAGCTAGAAATATGACTTATTTGGAAATGCTACGCTGGACAGAGAGGAAGTTACCATGGGAGCTATCGTGGAACAGCTCACCACAAGGGAGATACTTCCAGAAGGAAAAGAATTCAACGATCAGGGCCCAAATAATCTATCGAGAAACCGTTTTCCACACAAACACACTATGGAACCAAGTACATCCGGACGACTACATGGACCCCGGAGAACGATACCAGGTACCAGCCTTATCAGAAGCATCAAGCGGAAGTACGGTGGATTTAAGCCACCTGTCCATTCTCCGAAGAACAGGGTACATTGACCCTAGTCGATTATTCGCGGCAGCAGGGACCCCAGGAAGCGCGGGCGCCGCAGCAGCAGCAGCAGTCGTTCCCCCTGTGGTCCCTGTACCAGCTCCACAAGGACCTCTATCCCCGCATCATAACCCCGCGTTACGATCACTACCACGACCGGCAGCAATACCCATCCCTGCAGACCCGGTACAACCCCCCAACACGCCACCCCCGTTTATTGTGGGAACGGCAAACACAAATCCATGGGGACAGGTAAAACCCCAACTAGCGGAACCCCCGGAGAAGTTCAAAGGGGACTCCAGCGACGTGGATAGGTTCCTCAACCAGTGCGAGGATTACTTCAACGTATTCCCGCAGCAATTCACAATGAACGCATACGGACAAAGCCCTAATCGGGTAGTGTTCTGCACGTTCCGACTCGCGGACAAGGCATTGCACTGGTGGAATCACGCCCGGGACGAGTATTATGATGAAGTATGCGGTTACCTGCGATATCCAGCATGGCAGACGTTCAGACAAATAATCGAAGACCAGTTCCGAACTGATGCGGAAGTAGAACTCAAGCTACAGGAGTTCAAACAAATCCGCCAAAACACCTACAAATCAGCGAAGGAATTCTTCCGGGACTTTGAACGACTAGCGAAAGAGTCCGGGAAGCGCCGCAACGAAGAGTACATGATCGAAATACTCAAACCAGCTATTCGAAAGAATGTCAAAATGGCCATACACGCCACCGGAACCGCGTTACCATGCACCTATGCAGAGTGGAAGTTCAGAGTGGAACAAATGGACTATAACTACCGCGTGGGACTAGCGGAAGATGCAGGCAGAAGTCAAGGAGCGCAGGGTCAGCAGAACAAGGGAACGGGAAAAGCTGGAAACTCCGGGAATTTCCAGGGTGACAGGAAGACGGGAACGGGCACCACGTACGGGGGCCAAGGACAACCCATGGAGATAGATCGTCTCCACAAGGAAGGGCGATGTTTCCGCTGTGGTCACAAGGGACATCGGAAGCAAGACAACAAGTGCCCCAAAGACGAAAGTACGTGGCTGGTCAAGCACCAACCCAAGTTCTCTCGAGCCCAAATTCGCGCAATGTACCAGCAAGTATTGAAGGATGAAGAAGGAGAAGCCTCCACGTCGAAGATCGAGGAGGTAAAAGATGAGCCGGCAGCGTAAGCGACAAACGCGCGTCGGCTAAGGACTTAATTTCATTTGATGGTGCGTCATTAAAAACCGCCGGTCGGACTAATGTACCGCATGTAGTACCTCGAGGCAATGAAAACATTTTCACGCATTCACAAAATGAAATTACCAAGTCACATAAGAAGAACGGTGTACAGGGGATTTCCACCGTGCTCGAAGAAGAACCCCACTCAAGATCCTTGGCCACCGGTGCGAAAGCACAAGCGGTTAACGCTGCGCAAGGCGGTGGGACACTCGGGATCAACCTCACTCCATCGGGGGCAGATGACGGCGCGGGGAACAGAGGAAGAGCGGCTGAGCCCAAGGCGAGCAGTGAAGAACCCCACTCGGGGGCGGAACGTATGCGCCAGCCACGAGTGACCAGCTGCCCCCATCGTGGAACGGAGCCGCAAGAGGGAACGCGAATCCCCAGCAATAAAACCGCTGCCCCGAAAAGA